GGAATGGATCATCAGCCGGTTGTTAATGGATTTGCTGATGAAGAAGTAATTTTACAGAATGCTTCTAGAGGTCATTTTGAATTAATTTCTTTGCAATATGTAATTTTTAAAGCTTTCCTGTAAACCAATAGTCTGGTGGTCCCACTCTTAGTTACTTTAATTGTACAGTACTCTTTGGTATTCTGTGAACTTAAGTGGTAGTAGAGAAGTTTTCAGTTGAGTGTAATACAACTCATTCCAAAGTGATCACAGCAGCCAACAAGAAAAACTGAGGTTAACATTGGTATTGACTGATGAGAAAATTGGGGGAACTCAATGGACCATTTCTGAGTTTGTGGGGTTCAATGATCTGATGTTGAAATTAAGGGACGAGAACAATGCTAAGTGCAAAGTCACTCTTATGAGTATTTAGAATAAGGAGGTTGTGGTAGTGAAAATGAGTACAAAATTCTCGAAAATCAATGTAGGAGAGAGACATTCAGTTGAAAAAAGCAGAACTGTTTGATTTGTACAAGGAAGCTGCAGCAGTGAAGCAGGTCAAACTGGCCTTTTCTGCTAAAGACCACCCCCAAAACTCGGGCTTTCCTACGAGTAATAACCCGTGGAATATCTGTATACTCACCGCTGTCTTATGGTTGACTAAAAGTGGGACGGAGACGTGGGACTCAGGACGTGGAACTCGGGGACGTGGAACTCGGGGATGTGGAACTTGGGGATGTGAGACTCGGAGACATGGGACTCGGGAACTCGAAAATTTGGAGACTCGGGGACGTGGGACTCGAGAATGTGCAGGGGCTCAGTGATGTGATCAACAAACAACACCTGATATTTTCACTGAATTTGTAGAGTATAATTTTCGGTGAGAAAGCAACGTTTGTTTGCTGGTACATGCACAAAGGTTGGAAGAAATGATATGATTGGCGTATAGTTGACCAATCAAAAACTACGAGGTGTAAGATCAAACCAATCATAATCGAGAAGAATGAAAGTGGTGTATTTCAAAATTTTAGCGCTATTCCAGATGATGATCGGTGAGCGACACCAAAAAGCGGTTTTTGATGTACTTTTGTTTCCTTGTAGAAAATGGCAACAAGTGATGATTTAAGTTCTGACCTCAGGATTCATTCCCTGACAGAAAGGTAAGCTTCAACTTTTTGTGAGTGTCCGTCGACTGCAAAAGATCGGTTTTTTGTTGAGCATAGCAAACAGCCATAAAGTGTTCGTATTAGAATTTCTTTTAGTTCCAAATAACGATAGGTGTGAGAAGACACTGCTACAAATAAGCTGATTAGCACGTGTCTGGAATAAGATTGTGGGTGGCTGTGCCTCGTGTGCCACTTTTTTGTTCTTACCGCATTTTGACGTCATCTGTGATTTATTAATGAACAGACGCATGGCAACTTGGAATCTATTTGTTAATTAGATACTCGTTTTAAGTAGTTGTGAAGAACAGCTCCCCTCTAACGATTGTCACTCAACTGTCAACTGGTTTACTTGAAAGATGTGTTTACTTTTATGAATGTATATTTTCAGACTTCTGAAGTACTGCAATAAAAATAATGCTTGGGTTGGTGAGAAAAGAATACAGCAAACGTTCTGTGAAAACTTCATCTCCAGCCACTAGAATCATCAGGTAAATAGCCAAGCTAAACTGAGCACAAATTTCGGCCATAGACCTTGACAAACCCCAAGCCAGAAAAAGGATTTCTGGTGGCTCATTGAGGAACCTGGCTACACTGTGAGCTGCCGCACCACGCTTGTGAAATACGATTGGTTTGAAACTCAAAACTATTTCCTTGTTTTCAGTTTTTTGTTTGTTCTTTGGACATAACTTTTCACAACAAAGCATTCCATCATGTCAAATTAACTCTCTATTGGAATAAATCCACTACTTTATGCAGTCATTATGCCTGGCAAGTAAACAAAATATTGTGAACAATCAAGGAGCTCTCAGACAAAATGTAGCAGCATTGTTTAACTTTTGATTTCTGTAGTCTTTCATAACCACTCTCTTCAAACTACTGTACACTGCAACACCTCTGCACAGATTAGATTATGAAGTAAGCCTGTTGACTTTCTCTTTCAGAAGTTGGAGATTCAGAAGTCAGTCAATGTCTACTACAAGAGCACCCTGAGTGGCAGAGGCGTGAATGATTTTCTGTTTCACCTTGCATTTAATCACCTAAGATTGTGCAACAACTCTTGGGAGTTGTTCTTGAAGCAAGTGCTGTCTATGAGGGCTACAAACTCAGATTCAAAATTTTAAAGTTCTTACTAAGAAATTTATTTGCAGTTGGAGTTGATTTAAAATGGGATAGGGGTAAAGGTGGAAATAATGATGTAGCATTAGGGTGATGTCATTAATATTTTAAGATATACAGTAAGTAGAAAATAGCAAATAAAAATCACAACCAAAGAAATGACAACAAAACCAAAAAAGGTTATAGTAATTAAAAAACAAAAAAGAGAACTATGAATGAGAGATATCTAAGTGCTTCAATTGTTGATTTTGTTTTGAATTCTTCAATTAAAATTCATGTCCTCCTTCCTCTTGCTACTCTAAACTTGATGTGGCATGTACTGCCAAAAACTCCTTGTACAAATTGGTGGCATTCAATTGTTATCTATTTTCTATCAATGACTATTTATTTTCATAAATCAGTGGGGAAATGGTCCTATAAAGTACTAAGTACGATTTAACTTTGAACTGGGCTGGAAATAAATATCATAATAATACTTTTGGTAAGTAATGATGATCTATAAAATTACAATCATGAATTTAAC